GTCAAATCAATCACCAGCCTCCTCCCCATCTCAACTCCCATGGCTTCTTCTCCCCGCCGACAACCGAACCACCACCAATCACCGCCTCTTCTTCAACCTCGCCGACAACAGAACCTACAATTTCCCTCTCGTCGAATCTCGCCGCACTCCTCACTCCCAAAGACATCGAAACCCTAACCTTGACCATTCCTCTGGCGCGCTCCTCGGTCCCTCTCCCTCCGCTGCCATTGACGGAGATCGGCGCGCATGTGCTCGGAAAAGCCAAGGTTCTTGATTCCAATCACGTTGCTGTTATTTTCCCACATGGTAGTGATATACTCCTCTGTAGGCTCTTAAAAACATTGCGGGTATTCCATTGGTTGAAGGGCTTAGTGTTTGTGATTACCTCGTTGAGTCTCCGCAGGGGGAGTTGTTGTTGGTGTGGAGGAAAGGTGAGAGGAAGATATTTGAATTGTTTCGGTTGGATGCGAGTGGACGGAAAAAAGTTTGGATTGAGATGACTAATATAGGGGACAATGTGGTGTTTGTGGATGGTATTCAAGCTATGTTTTTTTGTGCTGGAGATTTGGAGGGCTGTAGAGGGAATTGCATTTATTTTGTGGATGGTTAACCCTGGTGGTTTACAAAATAAAGGGCTTAAGGTCTTTGACATGGATAATGGTCGGTTTGAAGATGACCCGTTATTTTCCTTTTTTTTTCCTCGAGGGCATTGGGGAAAGGCTTTGTGGGTAGTTCCAAGTCTTGGTTAGAGATTTTTGCTGAAGCTCCTTGAGGTAATTTTTGTAACCCGTTTGCTGATTTATGTATTTTAGTACATGAACTGGTTTAAAAAAATTCATTTGCTTCCCGATGATTAAGTTGCTTGTTAACTTTTCTTAATGAACGTTGCTGCTAAATTCCAAGCAATTGAATTGCAAAACTATTGTTAGCACTTCAGATACATGGCAGCTGGATTGTATAGATATTAATTGAAGCTAGAAAATTCTCAACACATTGAGTTTATTTCTGATAATATGCATATGATTTGGTAAGGGCTATCCGATAGTATGTTAAGTCATAGAAAAATAAGTTTATGTTTGTGCTTCTTCTTCTTATTCTTTTTTCTTAACCATATATGCTTTATTACAGTGGCGGAGCTAGGAATTCATGACAATGGTGTCGCAATATATATAAAAAGACGATATTACTAATTTTTCTCTTATATTCAGTATAATCATGAACTTTAACAAGATATAAAAGATATATTTAACTAAGTGTAATTACAATTGATCCCTATGCATCCTCATGTTTTGAAATTGTTGCATTATAGCTTCGTTTGAAATACCATTAAATACATCCTTTTCAATATAAGTTACTAGTTTGCCGTTCATCCACTAATGAACCACTTGATTTCACAGACGACCCTTTTCAATATAAGCCAGTCTTTTTTTTCCCCCTTTTCTAAAATGATGTTAACTATTTGGTACGTGGACTTTTGGGATTGGGTCATTTAAGGCTTTGTCCATTAGAGATGAATTAATAGATCATATGATTTAAGGCTAGTATATACTGGTAGTTTCACTTCAGACTCTTATTTTGGCCCATGCCAAGCACCATGCATCCATGCATCCATACATAAATCATAGCATAAACCCCAATTAAATGCATACTCATAAATAAAAAAAACTTATGTAATCAATTGATTAAACAATAAAGCAATGTATTATTAAGTACATGCTAACGGCCAAGAACTTCATGATCTCGTCTCTATATGCAACTGTTATTATATGGGAAATATTATATGCAAGATTCTTTATTAATTGGTCATTATTTTCTTCACAACCTAAAGCACAATGAACTATCAATTGCCAAAAACATCCAGTAGTCCTCTCTTTTTCAGTCCATCTTCATCATAATGAGGCATTTATATTTTCTTTCCCATTACAACCTAACCTGGAATAGAAGACTAAAAGCGTTATTGTTTTATTTTTGCTCTTAGGTCGTCCCTTCAATTTGAAACGGAATCCGGAGTTGTTCGTTTTTCTTCATCAGATAATTTAAGGTGATAATTTTTTTTCTTTTTTTCATTTTATGACAATTTCAATGATCTCTTTAGCATTTTGCTTACAATGATTTTAGTAGTTTTAACAAATAAATCACATTATTGTTCTATCATAATTTTTGATTTATTGATTGGTTCATCTACAAACTAGAAACCAAGAAGACTCATGGTGGAGATAAGAGAAAGATCGTTGGACATCTTCATTTTGTATGGAAAAAATGTGTACTTGGTCTTAGTTTAGTTTGTAAATAAGATTTATACGGTTAATATGTAATTAAGATTTATAGAACGATGTGAATGCTCAATTTGTGGAGCAAAATTTAGGGTTGGGTGGTCTAAAGGTCAATTTCATGAAGATTCACTGGAGAAAGTATTGCTATTTGCAGACGGTGATAAGATTCAATCGACAAACAAAGAAACTGAATGAGGAAGAAGACTGAGATGTTATGCTCGAATTTCTTTTTATCATTTTAAATGGGGTTAATGTAATTTCACCCACATTCTGTTACTATTTTAATAGTCCTTAGATTAGGGGGCAAAAGTAAAGGTAATTAACAATATCACTTATTTAAATGGAAAGTCGGTTTTATCATGTTTAACGAGAGAAGCTGTATCATTAGAAATTGAACTAAAGGTTATGAGTACTCATAAATTAGTTTGGAAATGATAACTACACTAAATAGATAAATGAGGTGGTAATCTACAAGTTGTCTAAGAACATATGGCTTTTATGTTTTTTAAGTTTTCAATAGATTGGTACGGTTTTTCTCAATATACATGACATAGGATTACTTTCCTTGAGAGATCTAGCTTAATCTACACCATGATGAAATATCACTACTAATATTAAGCCACTTTTAAACAAGAAAGATTAGTTTTAATCCTAAATAATTTACATCTTCAAAATTCAGTACAAATTTACTTTGAAGTTCAGATATTTTAGAAATAAAATTTTAGGAGCTTTAGTTTCAAGAAAATTTAGGTTCCCAAGTCCGAAAAAAGTTATTTTGAAGTGTAGAAAATAAAATAAAAAGATAATTATCGAGAAAATTTATCAATTACACGAAAAAAGTTATTTTGAAGTGTAGAAAATAAAATAAAAAGATAATTATCGAGAAAATTTATCAATTACACCCTATTTATAAAAAAAATCTATTCCAAAAAATAAAGAATATTTAGAATAAAAAATTGCCATTTATTTATGTTCTCCATAATTTTTGTTTTAAGACTAAAATTTTATAAATTCAAGAAAATTTACCTTGAAGATCAAAATCTTAAAATAAGAGATTGCAATAGAGGTTTAGATTTAAGAGAGTTTAGTTTACCCCCTTAAATCCCACAACCTTTATTTAGAAATCCATAATATAGAGGTTTACAAAATAAACCGTCTTTGCAAAAATTATCTACCCAATCCTTTTTTTTTTTTTAGAAAATTTGATATTTATCCCATTTTTTACTTCTAGATAAAGAAAAGTTAGTAATTACAAAACCTTACAATTTAGGTAAACTATTATAAACCCTAATTTCAAAACTAATAACTAAATTATACATGACAATGAGCTTACGTGCAACACACGTGCACCATACTAGTGTGTGTGTGTATATATATATATATATATATATATATTTTTAACTATTTAATATATTTATGTTAAGTAATTCAAGAAGTGAATCACCTTTCCAATGACATTTTAGGAGTCAATTCAGTTGCATCCTAACAGAGCAAGTTTTGATTTTAACTTTTATAATAATTTGATTTTCTGACATATTGGAAATTGAGAAATAAGATATGATTTTTTTAGATTGCTAAGTATTCCAAAATGACTCCTAGTTTTTTACCCGTGCAATGCACATGAATTATTGTTGACGAATAATGACAATCAAAGTTCCAGAAAATCAATCCATGGTTTCCCAATTCGATATAGCTAACGTACACAAAACCAAGCATGTCTGTAAAACTTGTATAGATCACATGATTGTTGAAACTACTAGGTTATAATACAAACTACAACAATGTTCTTATAATGTCATTATGCTTTACAGAAATCAACATAGTTTTCAGATGTTCCATGTAACTTTTCATGATTGAATGACCAGCCATCATGCGTCCATAAAATCTTAAACTGACCCTTTCAATGTAAATAGAGTTAGATTTGTCCGACTCTGTGCTTGAAATTTCTGCAACAAATTTGTGAGCACCTGTGCAACATTCTGAGCATTTTGCATCATAGCCTAGAACCTATAAGTTAGCTTAAAAAATAATTGGTAAAAGTTACAACACTATTAATTAAATGGGATTAATAGGATAAATTAACCTTTTTGCAATATGGAGCGAGCATAAAAAAAATGAACCCATGGATAAGATCCTGTTTGGTGCGAAAATTCGAAGAAGACAATTGAGAATCTGATTTATTGTATTATCTCTCTAACTAACTTAGATAAAAAATGAATACAATCCTCTCAATACAATTTCTCTCTAATTGACTTTAGAAAAAGAAATTACACTCTTCTTAATCGGAATCCCGATTTACAAAAGAGAAGAAGATCGACGGAGATCCTCCCTTTTGTTTAAGTCTGGGTTTTTCACGGTAGCGATGAGATGCCTCCCTCGAATGCTCGCATCGAGTTTGCTTCTCGTTGACGATCTGAACGTCTTATTTCACTGGAATGTGGTTGATTCATCTTGATTGACGTTGAAGAGAACTTGCATGGCAAGTTTGAAATTCTGAACGAGTTAATAACTCAGAATGAGTTTAAACTCTTGAAAAAGAGTTGATTTAAACCAAAAATCAGTTAATAAGCTAGGAATGAAAGCTCCAAGGACTGCTCCACAAGATGAATGCCGATCTCTCCTTTGTGCAGTTTTGATCTCCAAAATTTCAGATCGAAGATCCCCCAAAAAGATTTGAATTAAGCTGATTTTTTAGCTATTTATAGAGATTTTTAGGGGTGTAATCGCCCCCTAAAATCTCTCCTTAATGGGGTGTAACGGACCCCATTTTATGAAAAACGGTTTTGAAACCATTCAAGGGTTTAAGGGGTGTACCCCCCCTAAATCATGGGAGAACGGTTTTAGAACCGTTTAACTCATATTTGAACAAGCCAAACACAAAATCTGCGTTCTAGAATTGAAATGCAGAGTTAGGACCTGTGTTGGCGGCTGAGAACGCACAGGTCGCGCTGCATTTTGAATCTGGACTGCAAGGCTGACCCTTGCGTTTTGAAGTAGGAACGCAGCTCTTGAGCTTTGCGTCTCGTTCTGGAACACAGCTACGGGCTCTGCGTTTTGCTTCTGGGAGTTTGGAACGCGGCCACGAGCTCTGCGTTTTGAATCTGGGACGCAGATGTGAGCTCTGCGTGTGGATTTGAAGAGATCGTCAATTTGTAGTTTTTTTGCTAGAGCGTTGCAAATACCGTCATCTTGTAATCTTCGTCTTGGCTCTTTGTAAATATGAGAGTCGTCAGATTGTAACTCCCGATGTTGATTGTGAAGGCTGTTGATTAGATCTTTTATCAGTTGTTGTGAAGGTCGTCAGATTATAACCTTCATCGATATACGTGAAAGTCTTTAAAGTGTAGCCTTCTGAAAGTCGTCAAATTGTAACTTTCATCATCAGTGTTTGATGGGGATCAGCTATCTGCAATGATTTTTAGACAACCTACAGATCCTATAAGTTAGCTACAACAATAATTGATGAAAAAAATACAACTCTATTAAAAAAGTGAAATAATAGGACATCTACTGTTGCTAACACTTGTGAAGGTGGAGGATATGATAATGGACTTATCGAGGATAATCAAGGTGTTGATGAAGTATCAAGGGTTCAGAAGATTCTCCTGTATGGAACCACATAAATGATAACTTTTTATTTTCTTCTCACTCTATTTTCTTCTGGGATTCTTTATTTTCACAACTACGCCTATTAAACATGCTAGATTTTGATTATTACAATGTGTGTGGAATTACAAAGTATGCATTCCCTTTATCATTTAATTGCCATATGTGACTAGAGAACCCTGCTGTTGGAACTGGTAGTCCACTGGATAAAGTTTTATCATCAGATAATTTGAAATAAATATCATAGGAATTTGGCTTTTAAATTTGAATTGAAACAGTGCGTCCTGTCTTGATCATCTTCCTCTGAAATGTGAAACTGCTTATGATACATGTATACGGGAAGAACCTCTCCCGTTCTCCATCAGTGTAGCTCATAGCAGCTTGTCAGTTGTCACCATGCTTGTAAACCACACATGTAGTTTCTGTTAGTTGTACGTAACTTCCTACATAATCCACCATTCCATAGATGAAACAGTTTCAACTTCTTTTGGCTGGCCCTCATATGTACAGAATATCTAGGATTAGGCAATTTATCATTCAGAAACACCACTATGTGCTCCTATTGTCCAGTCTCCCCATTAACAAGCATAAGCAAAAGGTGGCATGGGGTCTTGCTATTTGGTGACGCAGCTTTTTCTGGATGATATGCAGCTGTTGGTTGATACATGATCCCTGTTAACGTATGGTGTACTCTAGGACTTGGATATCTTGAATTAGTATGATTGCGGTGAAGCTTTCGTGTGCCTTAAGTAGGCAGATAACGTATATGGGTTTATCTACCGTCGACTTTGGTTGGTTGCAATTATATTTTATTTTGTAAATGCTTCAGCTGTAATTTCGGCATAGAATCAATGGTTATTACAGGTTTTGTTTAGTTGTAAGTAATGCGGGTATCGGTAGCCCTGTTTGGTTAGCTGCAGCCCATAATGTGATTCAAGTTTTATGTTGTCGTCACAAGTGGAAAAACCCAGCTCCTACTTATAACTACCTGTTATCCCCTGTCTTACCTTGAAGTTAAGAGGTTCTAAGCTGTATGCAAGTCTGTAGCCAATTTGGCTATAGTGCCATTTATGAGTTTTTGTGACGACATGGTGTTACTAGTTCTTGGGATGTTTTGGCTCATGAAACAGGCAATGTTACTGTTTGATCACAGAGAAGAAGAGAAAAAGAATATATTTCGTTGAGGGGGGCTCCGGTAATGGGTAAGAGGGCTTGATTTTCCTTTTGTTGTGTTTCTGCAAGTAGATTACACTCCTTTATATAGGCCATAAATCCCATCATCTCCACCCCCTCAAACTGCCTCTGAGAGATTTTCTCTCAACAAACCCCATATCCCACGTTTCTCTCCACTTGAGAAGCGTTGATTTGGTGACACAAGACCAAGTCAGAGTAACATCTCCCACGTGACCAAATTAACCAAGTGGTATGCCTCCCACTATCCGTGAGTTCGGATGTTTCTGCTTACCATTACTCCCACTATCCGTAGAGAGTAACTCTTATTTTATTATTCATAAAATTTTACTTGGACTTATTTATTCCTAAGTCCCATCAAACTTACATGTTTGATAAAAGATTCCGCTGGTATTCCTTTTGTCAAAGGATCAGCAATCATATCTG